ATATATATATATATATATATATATATATATATATATATATGTACATACGCGAGGGAGAAACGAGAAATGGATTTCTCGTGTATTCGAAGGAAAAAGGAATAAAACGATAATTAATACGGTCGGTGTGGGGAGTGGAAAAAACTAGTTTCTAAGTAGTTACATGTATCAAAATTTGTCGATCCCATCGGACGGCGAGCGTAAAATGCAAATCTTTCTCTCGAAGAGAAAAGAGAGAAAAGAAAGAAAGAGTCGAAGCTAACCTGAATCCGAAATGATTGTGTTGCAGCGCGAGTACACGGACGATTGCGTGTTCAACGAGACCCTGGAGCAGCACAACTACAACACGTACAGCTCGGCGAAATGGTCGACGGCCAAGAAAACGTTGTACCTCGGATTGAACCGTCACGGGCAGCCGAGGAGGGTACAGGCCAAGGGTCACAATCTCGGCAGGCTGTCCGCCTACGCGCGGGTGTTGACTCAGGTCGCGCCTCTGGACCGGGTGGAGACGCTCCAAAGGCGGATGCTCGGCGCCCAGCACAACGTCCGCCACCGGCACAACACCCACCGCGGCGACCTCATCCAACAGTCCCTCTGCCCCGCCCTCCCCGCCCAGGAGAAGGACGGCAGGGACAAGTTCAGGTGTCGCAAGCGGAAGAAGAGGAAGAAGAGGAAGCGGAGGTGCAGGCCGGGCGAGAAGCCGGGGCCGCAGTGCCAAACGGCGGAGGGCAAGCTGCTCGTTCCGCCGCCGCCCAGCAACCAGAGCCTAGCCGTGGCGGCCACCAACGCCACGATCCAATCGAAGAGGCCGTGCGAGGGTTTGGCCAGCGAGGAGGCCTGCCGAAGAGAGGCCCTCTCGGTCCCCTCTAAGAAACGGAAGCTGCGGGTCGAGGCCGAGGGAGGAGAAGATGGAGGAGAAGGAAAAGGAAGAGGGAAAGGAGGGAGGAACGCGAGCAACGGTAAGAGCAAAGCGCCAGCGTCAAACGCGAAAAAAGTAAACGCCGCTGGTAGCACGAGTCAGAGTAAAAAGCCTAATTTGACGAACGGGAAGAAGAGAAAGAAGAAGGGGGCGCAGCAACCGAGGAGGAATTCGTGGTCGGGCCGGAAGAGGTTCAAGCCTGGCGGAGCGGCGAACGCGACGGCCACCATCGCCACCACGACGACGACGACGACGACGACGACGACGATACCGACGACCACGACGACGGTAGCAGGCACGACGACAACGGGCGTGGCGTAGGCCGAGCAGAACTCGAGGACAGCTCGAGGGGAGAGGAAGATTGCCCGCGGCCTCTGGCGGGCAAAGCCGGAACCCTGCGCCCCTCGCCATGGTGCCCCCTTAATTCCTCCTTCTTGTTGCTGCTGGTTCGCTCGGTGTGGACCTCGCCCCGATCCTACCACGCCGCGTGAGATCTGTGAAAGCGCGCGAGGATCGCTTCGGCCTAATCGTCTCCTTCGTTCCCTCGATTATATCGCGATATATATACACACACACGCTCGCTGCCTTCTTCTTCTCCTCGATCTGCTGCCCCCCCCCCCTCCTTCCAATCTTCTCTCGCCCCAACTAGTCTCATCATCGTCTCGATGCATGCGCCGACCATTGTGATCCCCCTCGTGATCCTCTCTCGTTCCCATCCGACCGACGATAGCCATCTCGTCGCGTATCTTCTTACCGCGAGTCATCTCTTCGCCGCGTCTTAATTAGGATTGTATACCTAGTTGGCCGGTAACGAGCAGGGTGTGAAGGGAGTGCGAGCGCTGAGTATATCGCGCCGTTTTATATATACGCACCAGTTAATATGTATATATATATATATATATATATATAGAGCCAGTGATTCCATCTCGATCTTAATCGTTAGAGTTACAATTACAATTTCACCGATATCTCTCTTAGATGATAATCGGAAGGCTTTCGCCTTGCTACGAGTAAGAACGACGGGTAAAAACCTCCATCGGATAAGAGATACGGAATTACCCGTGCAATCTATAAAATCCGCTCCTTTTACGTCCTGTGTACTACTACTGGTGAAGTCTTGTCGTCTTCGCCGTGTTCCACGAAGGAGAAAGAGAGTGAGAGAGAGAGAGAGAGAGAGACAAGGAGCCGTTGTTCACGAGAAAACATACACACGACTATTTATACGTTATTATACAGCCAATACTGAAAATAAGAGATGGGGGAGAGGGAAATGTATAAGGAAAAACACTGGGACGTGAGCCATTATTGGCGGTATACGAGGCGTGTCGCGATAACGAGCGCGCGTTTCATCGATTAGCGTAATTGTGATCGAGGAGGGCGAAATTATAGGGGGAAAAAAAAAACGGGGGATAATTCGCTTGTCGAGGGAGAGAAATCGAATTGGATCGCAAATTCATTCGTTTTCCTCGCGGCTTATCGAAATGCGTTTCGATCGGAGGAGGAAGGAATATCAAGTTCGCCGGTTAAGAGAATAATCAATGCCCCGCTTAATTAGATCATCGACTATGTGTGTATCTCGCGATCCATAACGTGGAGGATCGTTCTCGTTTCCTCTCCAGATTAAGGGAACCGAGTGTTTCGTGCTCGTTACGCGACCACGTCTCCTATCGAGAGCGGCTCTCACACGCGGCTCCTCCTTCCATCCGACGTGTCATCCGTCCGGGATGAACGGTTCGTTCCTTCCATCCAGTCGCGTGCTCATCTTTTCTTCTTTTCTTTTTTTTTTTTTTCTTTGCCACGATTAGCGGGAAAACGACTTTGAACCGAGAAGAATCGGGTTGTTGCGGTTTCTCCTGTTCGAGTTTCTACCAGTTTCTTGGAGAAATGGATCCGTTTGTGCGTGAATACGTATGCCACGTGTGCCACCTCGAAGCGTGAAAAAACAGTTGGCTTGGATCGACCGAAAGAAGCAACGTCGACGACGTCTTCATCGATTCAAAGTTGTGAAGGGAAGGGACGCACGCAACGAACGTCACGCACGAATACGCGCCGTTAATCGTAACACGATTGCCATGTACGCGTAAATTTACAATGATTCCGTGGTGGGACGCGATCGAAGGCTGGCCGAGGGCGATCGCGTGTGCCGCGGCTGCTCTCCCTCCACCTCCTCTCGCGACCAGTTCCCACAACTTCCGATTTCTTCCCACCGATTTTCCTTTCCCTTTCGTCGTCGTCGTCGTCGTCGTCGTCGTCGTCTCTCGATCGAAAATCGAATCGAGGATGATCGATAGAAAGAAGGGCCGCCACGAAGGGTGACGAGGACGAGGGAGGGGAATTGGAACAATCGGATCTCGCCTCGATGTTTTCATTTTATTCACAAGTTCGTTTGCAACTTGTCATACGATTCGGTTGAACGTGTACGATGACTCACGGTACCGGTGGCGTTTCGATCGAGTGTTGCCGACCTGGATCGCCGATCTAGCTGGACAAAAGTGATGCTGCTGGTAGTAATAATAAATCGCTGAATGATAAACGTGGCTGAAATTGGTGAGAATGCTCTTTGCGCCTCCTTGCCTTTTCCTTCGACGTATATCGACGATTAGAAACCACGTTTCGATGCTTGTGTACGTTACGGCTTGCTCTGCTCCTTCCATGCAAGAATTTCTTGTTGAATTAAATAAGCGAAGCTTTCTTTCCAGATATCTCGACTTTTTAATTTTTTTTGAATCTCTCCGTTCGAATATCCAACCAATCGCCGACCAATCAATTCAATAATCAAATTCTTCGTCTCGAATTTTGTCCAGCTCGATTAGCGAATCTTGACATTGCGCAACGTTCCTCGGCGAGAAGACGTTCCAGGCTCGACTGGCCTGTGCCTGGCCAAGACGCATCAGGAGACCACCGGGAGGAGAGGGAGGTGGAGGAAGAGGAGGAGGAGGAGGAGGAGGAGAAGGAGAACGTTGAGGAGAAATGATATAATTTTTATCTCTGGATCGATCCAACGATACTCGCTCTTCTTCGTTTATTTTTTTCTCGATTTCACGACACTCGATCACCGCGACGTGTAAAAATCGATCGGATCGCACGTCTTTTCCCTTTCGCGCGAAAGCGAAATTCACGTGTCGCGTTCCTTTCTCTGGAGCAAAGAAGAGAAAAGAAAAAGGGGAAAAAGGAAAAGGAAAAAAAAATCTATCGGCGTTTCGATCGAAAATCGACACTTTGCACTCCCGATTCCACCCATCCACTGAGAAAAAAAAACGTTCGATTGTTCTCGATTGCGTTCTCTTGCGTGCGTTGTAAGAAAATTGTAAGAAAAGAAAAAAAAAAAAGAAAAAAAGAAAAAAGAGAAGAAGAAGAAAAAATGTAAAGGTTTGGCGAGACGATTAGACCGTTTCTTCTCTTCGTTTGCGAGAGAAAAACCGTGCGTGCATGCGAACGAACGAACGAGGAAATAATTGTAAACGATCCCCCAGAAGGGAAGCGGTTTCGAACGGGAGAAGGGATAATTCTTTTCTTTTTCTTTTTTTTTTTTTGTTTATACGGTTCGCGTAAAAGAGATTTAAAGTATTAAATTACCGAGAAAGAGAAAAGTATTAAAAGCCGTTATATAGAGATATTTACTCGTTAAACGTTAAGGTTAAAATCGAGCGTTCGTTCGTTGTTCGTTCTTGAACGTATCGGGCCAAAAATACCCGAGCTGCCAAAAATTTATCACTATGCGGTTAAGGCCGATCGATAGACTTAAAAAGTAACGAGAAAGAAGAAGAAACTTGTGCGGAATTTCGCAGCAATCGTGACGTACGATCAAACTACGATAACAACTGAAAATATTTAATTTTGTATTTTTTTGTTCTAATTATAAAAAGAATTTTGTTAATATAATCGATAT